TGTCTTTTCCAGGCTCCCATCTTGCCAACCTTATTATATGCATGCGGTTGCCTTTACACGGAGCTGCTCTAGTGTTTCGTGTGTGCTTGCATGCAGTGCTCCATCTCGTGCGGTATATAATATTTGGTTGGCTAGTTTGCATATTTATAAAATTCTTTAGCTTTATTGCTGATGAAAGGGATCTGTTTAACACCCTGAGTGTGAAGGTTTTATTGCTGTGGTACTACACTTGATAAGAGATTTTCCTGGAGATATTATCCTGCTACTCAGCACTAACCTTGAGCTTGCTGTGCCCTCGGTAAGTTTGCTCATAATAATCCATGTCCCAGCATCTCCGATATAACAGGAAACCTATATACTGCCCCAAAGAGGGGCAGGGGCAGATCTGGAACTTGCCAAGGACTCTGGTGGGTGGCGCTCACGGAAGCTGAGTCAGCTGGCCCAGCTGAGCCCGGGGTCCTTGCCGCGGAGCTGGCTCCCGACAGAGGCAGGATGTGGCACCAGAGCAGCTGAAGGAAGAGGCTGGCAGAAACGCGTTGTGTGCTGCACCCCCACAAGCCACCCCAACACGCTTATATGCAAAAGTGAACAGTCATAGCCAGGACTGAGAGCACCTGTGTTTTCAAGAAGTTGACTCTAGAGTTCTCAGCAGATACTTGGTCACAGGTGTGGCAGGTGGTCTGGTATCGCAGTAGATTCAGGAGCTGATCCTACTGCAGCAGCCACTACCTTTCTTCAGAGTGACATTCTACACTCTGCTTGGGGGCTGTAGCTCTGCAGGTGTCAACTACAGCAGACTGTGTGAAACCCAAGTGTCTGTGGCTCCTGGCCAGCTCCCAGGTACTGTGACTTTCTGGCTGTCATATGGATTCTCTTTTTTTTTTTTTCTTTCTTTTTCTTTTATTTTTCTATAAAGAGGATGGATAATAAGGCTACAATTCCCCCTTGAAATGGGTGTTTTTGAGAGTCCAAGTCATTCCATTTATTTTATTTATTTGCTGTATCTTTAACTTCTGGACCACGTTTTGTGATACTGCTGATGTGAACACAGCAGAGGAATAAAAACAGCTCAGTAGTGGCAGAGGACTCTTCAGCAACAGCTGATGTCTGTGTAGTGGGATCATCTGTGTGGACAAGCTGGTTGCAGAATACCTCGTTGCGTTTTGCAAATGGAGCATGAGATTTGTGAATAGATTTATGTAACTTGCTTTGTAGGAATATGTAGTTTTGAAGTTGCTTGAGTATAAAATTAACCTTTCATCTGCAATAGCAACATCCTTATTGCTGCCCTAGAACAGGATTGTTATTGCTTTATGCAAAGATATGTAGTTTTTATATGCGTAATACAGTATGTTGGTTTTTAAGCCTCTTGCATGGAGTACGGCTATTTTAATTTTTAAATGAGCACATCTCTGATGAAGCTGGTGCAGTAGTGCTAAAGATTTTGTAGCAGCACTAAGAGGAAATCTGAAAACATGCAATTGGAAGAACTGATTAGGGTTGTGGCAGTCCCTATGAAATTACTCGTTCCTTTAGCAACTCTGAGGAAGTGCTTAGAAGAAAAGACACTAATTAACTACTAGGACTAGTGCCCTGAAAATGGGGATCTGAAATTATAACCCCTAACAGATTAGGGGTTGACCTGCTGGAAAGCGGCTCCACAGAGAGCGATTTGGGAGTCCTGGTTGACAACAGGCTAACCATGAGTCAGCAATGTGCCCTCGTGGCCAAGAAGGCCAATGGGATCCTGGCCTGCATC